AAATCTGACTGCACCCTGTCTATCTGTGTTTTAGTCCAGGTCGTTCGATTATGCATCAGGTACTAGGAAATACAAACATAGAACCAAACTACAACTATTTAAAAACTGAGCTGCTGGTCGTGGTGCAGGGAAGGCATTTCTGGAATAGATCAGACGCAGACGAGGGATTTAACAGAGAGATGTAAACAACATTAATCCCCTCAGAAGAACCGTTATTTACCTTTTGCACAACGACGTTCAAAAGGCTTTTAATAATTAGTGATAGAAATAAATGAGTCACAGTCAATAGTGTACGTCTGGTTGCAGAATGAGGAGGAGGGGAGGGGGGACTCCGCTCAGGTCTACATCAGATCAGGTCACCGACTCGTCTCTCTGACTGCCGCTCCATATCTTCCACTTCCTGAAGCGGTTTGCAGATTCTTTCAGATTCTGTGGTTCAATCTAAGAATTAATCTCTGAATTACATCCTGTTCATAGCAGGTTATTCATGGTGCCTTGCAAATGTATGCATTGATATTCTGTTAATCCCTTAAACTGAACTCGCCATCGGCGTGGAAACACACAGTAGTGGCGGCATCATGCAGGGGGGAAGTCTTTTGTAGCGGTGGGCGGGAAGCTGTGAAGATGGATGGAGCCAGAGCTAAACTGACAAGTTATGATCAGTCCAGACCTAAATCCAACAGATTCTGCTTCCAGCCATTCATCATACAGCATCTACCTCCAGTCTGACTGAGCCGGACGGATTTTCCAAACAAATATTGACAGTAATGTTAGTCTAGATGTTCGAAGCTGGAAGGGAAATGTGATTCTATGATGAAAAGAAAGAAAAAACGAGACCTTCTCATTCATTGGTTGATCTAAATATGCTGTTTAGACAAAGAGAATAGAAGCTGAAATGGTTTAAGATGCGGTGCCACCGTAGCGACCAAAGCAGCTTTTAGTTGTTCCATGTTTTCATTTCTGTCACATAGAAGTTATGATTGCATTAAAGAAAAATTGGTCTAATACTTTGATTTTTGTGAAATTTGTTCCATTATTGTTTTGACAAAAAACAAATTTTGTAAATGGAGGAAATTTGAAAATCAGGAGATCAAACTTTGAAGAAATTCTAAATATTTTTTCTTATTTTATACTTTAACATTTTTTTTTTCAAACTTTTCTTACTTTAAAGGATTTTATTTTTTCAGTTTTCCTCTATTCCTGTGTATCCGATGACTTTTACAAACTGCATCCATTTAAAATCACAGATCAACTTTTCTTCAATAAAATCTGTAAAAAATAAAAAAAATAGAAAAACAATAAAATAGGAAATTAGAAAAAAAATCAGAGAAAACAACAAAGCTAATCTTCAAAATTTTAATATCTGTATTGCATTTTCTTTTTTTTGTTTTCTACTTTCAAAATCTTTTTTTTTTTTTTTGCAATAATAATGGAACAAAATTCTCTCTGTAATTTTTCTCCATGACTTCCTGCTGCTTTGAGTGTCGCATTAAATCCCTATAAAACACGCTGATGATGAATTCAACATGAGAAAATGTGGATATTGTTCTGGGGTATGAATACTTTTGCAAGGCACTGCAAACCTGAAGCTCCTCTGAATCCAAACCTTCTCCTCAGCTATAAAGACGCCGCCACCTTCCACAGATCAGAGTTCAGTCGTTCAGCTGTTGTTGTTTTTCTGTTACCTGCAGCTACATCTGAAGCAGAGGAACTTGTGAGGGAAGGATTTTAGAAACACTTCGGTTTGTTCACAACACAGAGGAACGTCCAGGAAGCGGCTGAAATGCTGAGGCCACTCTACATTCATTTCCTTCTGTTGCATGGAGTCAGCGATGGCCCCAGACTAATCCAGCAGAGTTCAGGATCTTCTGTTCCTGCTGCAGACATTCATGAGTCTCTGCTGGCTGGACCATCATCACCACAATAAGGCTTCAGTCTCGTCGCTGCTTAAAGGGATACGCTGCCGAAATGACCCCCACCACACTCCCCTCTTTAGATTTCAGATGGGGGGTCAGACGCGCCCGTTGCCGTGCGTGCTGCCCCGCCGGCCCGACGCGTGTTGGGAGGAGTAGTGGAGCTCCGCGGTGGAGAAGCTGTTGGAGGAGTTGGAGGGAGAGGGGGTGAGGCCGCAGGCTTCGCAGGCCAGAGCCAGCTGCCGCAGGGCGTCCAGGGAGTCCATCTTAGCTCCGCGTAACAGGTCACTCTGCCCCTGAAACAAACACCAACAAACATCGGTCACATTTTCACGCAAATCTAAATAGGGACTTTTTTTTTTTTTTTTCATTTTGATTTTGACTTTTTTTTCCTGCTAAACACGAACGTAAACATGTTTGGCTCCTGGATTTCAGAGTTTTCATGGATCTTTGTGGAAAAGTGCAATTTCTACTCTCATGTTTGGATCTTATGACAGAATATGAGGACCAGGCTGGAGATTTTTCCTTTTTTTAAAATATCACAGTAAAGTGATAAAAATTATGAGAACAATGTCACATTATAAAGTCAAAATATTATGAGAATAAAATCATAACATTATGAGAATAAAGTCATAAAATTATGAGAATAAATTCATAACATTTTGAGAATAAAGTCTTAATATTTTGAGAATAAAGTCTTAATATTTTGAGAATAAAGTCTTAATATTTTGAGAATAAAGTCAACATTATGAGAATA